TAGAAATCTTCTACTTCTTCTTTCCTCCCAGACTGTTCTTTATTCTTTCATCAAATATTTGTCTGGCACCTGCTAGATACAAGCCCCCTAGTGTGGAGGTATACAGAGGTTAAGACCCTTTTTCTGCACAATATTACTCAGGCTGACTCCAAGATGTAACATCTCCATGAGGAAAGGAAGAAAAGTACTAATGAAAAATTGGTGGGCCTCCCTGGTGGTGCAAGGAGCTAAGTCTCAGCACTGTGAAGCAATCCACAGCCACTGCAGCACGAGTTAAATCCCCAGGCAGGGGTTAGCCAGGGAGCGACCTACATGGCACAGCAGACCTCTTCTGCCTCACCCGCTGCTCCCCTCAGCCTCGTATTTAAGTAGATCTGCCTGTTTTGCTCCCCACTCTGACTCTGGTGAATCCTCTCACCCACCCCATGCCTCTGACCTACACCCCAGCTTTTGTATGCATAAATAAAGAAAAATATTTAAAAAAAAAAAGAAAAATTAGTCATTCAACGTCAGAGTTAAAGCATCTGGGGAAAGAATTCTTTGAACTGCAGTTATTTGGGTGGTATGTGAAGAAACCTTGAGAAGGGGGTATCAACGGGGAGGAAAAAGATTCTGAGTGACTCGTTTTCAAAACTCCTCAGTCTGCTTCATTCCTTACCAATAATTAGAGTGCCTATCATTCAGTATCTGAGAGCTGCTAGTGAGCATCAGTTTTAGGGGAGAAATAGGACAAAGCTTCCTTTTTGCAATAAGACTATATTAGCTTTTTTAAAAAAAGACTATGTATCTTAATGTTGCTTTTTAAAAAATTTTCCACTGACCTTAAAAACACTGAAATTTAAGAAACTGGGTTCTAATGTTGGAGGATGAGGGAATCCCAGGGTTGTGGACACACAACCTCGCCAACAACGAAAAACAAAAAGGGAATGGAGAAAAACAAAAGCAAAAAATGGGGCAGCTAGCTGAAATACTAGGAAACCTGGTCCCAGAAGGAAGCCCAGGGGACTGCCAGAGACACCCCATGTGACTTCCCGCAGCCTTCTTGGGGCGGTAGACAAAGAAGAGGGGCGGAGTCGTGAGGACAAAGAGCAGAGCTGTAGAAACTCGCCCTAAGGCAAAAGTGCCTTGTTTCCTGGGTGTGAGTTTCTGCCTTTCTTTTTTATATGACCCAAAGGAAGTTAAAAGTTAACCTGAGGGGCCTTCTGGTGCCGCGCTGTGAAGCTGTCCGCAGCCTCTGCAGCATGGGTTCTATTCCCTGGCTGCTCCCTTCAGCAGTGCTTTCGGTCTGTGGTCTGTCTGCCTATTCTGCGCCCCGCTCTGTCTCTGGTGAATCTTCTCACCCTCCCACGCCTCTGGCCTGTACCCCAGCTCTTGTATAAATAAATAAATCTTAAAAAAAAAAAGTTAACCCGAGCTAGTAGACAGACTTTTGAGTGAGTGCAGGCACCTGCCAGCACCTCTAAGGATACCTGTGGTCCTGTGGATCAGCCCAGCTGAGAACCAAGGGAAACGCTCCAGCGTCCAGCCCCGCCTTTTAGGTCTGGCTCTTTCTATTCAGGGTGTCACCTCCCATCTCCCTCCCATCTCTGGGCTAATGTCCTCTCTCTGATTCCATCTTTGCATTTATGCCTTAAGTTGCAGTCCCCTGTGCCTGGGATAAATGTGTTCTAGAAAATCATCTCAAGAATATTTAGACCTCCCTGGTGGCGCAAGGGTAAGGTTAAGTCTCAGCAAAATGAAGCTGTCAGCAGCTTCTGCAGCATGAGTTCCATCCCCTGCCAGGGAGTTGCCCACAGGGTGCAGCAGACCTCTTCTGTCTTGCCCACCGCTCCCCTCAGGAGTATATTTTAGTCAGTCTGCCTGTTCTGCTCCCCACTGTCTCAGGTGAATCCTCTCACCCCTTGCACCTCTGGCCTGTACCCCAGTTCTTGGATGCAAAAAATAAATTCTTATAAAGGAAAAAAAGAATAGTCAAAGAGTTTATTAGATACTCAAAGTGAGGATTCAAACCTGGGAAGCAACCCAACAGATTTTACTCTGTGAGAGCTGTTCTGATAAACGCAGGTTTGAATTTATAGACGCAGAAACAGTGAGTCATTGATTTTAAGAATGTAATTATTCTTGATCGTTGATTCTGGTTCCAGATTGTCCAGATTTAAAGATTTGCTGGTGCTGGAAGAAGGCAATGCCGGATTTAATCTCCTTTTCCGAAGAATACCCTGCAGAGGTTCAAATGCTGGGTGCCCATTGTTAACCATTTTTTTCTGGAAAGATTGACTGATACCTTTAGGAAGTAAAATTCTGCTTATAATATGGACCCTGTGAAGAAGGCTTGTCCCTTTGCTGATGGACCAGAAGCAGGGTGCCCAGAAAAAAATTTTTTTTAATTTATTTTTGTGTAGACGAACTGGGGTGTAGGCCAGAAAAGCAGGAAGTGAATGGGTTTACCAGAGACAGAGTGGGGAGCAGAACAGGCAGATTTACTGAAATACACTGCGGAGGGGAGCAGCAGGCAAGGCCAGCTGTGCCATATGTGGGTCAGCTCCCTCACTGGGGATCAAACTCAAGCCCTAGTAGTGATAGTACTGAAACTTAACCCCTAGGGCACCACAGAGGGGTTCTGGTTTGTTTTTTTTTTTTTTTTTTTTGATTTCTTGTTATTTGATGCAGATATTGTGAAAATGAGGCTAGTCTACAGGACTGGTGAAAGCAGGACAGATTCATGTTCCTGCATGACTGTGGAAGCCTTTTCCTCTGGTTACAGTGGAGCTTCCCTGCAGCTTCACTTTTATCATGATTTCCATTATTTGGAATCTCTCTTACACACACACACATACATATATCCCTCAGCTTAGAAAATTTCTGTTGAATGAATTTAAATTTTGAAGCAAAGTAGTAACAATCCCAGTTTTATGACTCAATGTTGAGTTTATTTGCCTAGCCTTCTTATTACTAGTTTTGCTTTGAGTTTCAACACAGCCCTCCTCCCTCCAATTTATCTTCTGGTTGAAAGAGAGGAAAATCAGTCATAGACTCTTTTTTTTTTTTTTGAGGCAAGTATTTTTTATTTATTTATTTATTTGTTCGTTTACACATGCACTGGGTACAGTCAGAAGCGTGGGAGGGTGAGAGAATTCACCAGAGCCAGAGTGGGGAGCAGAGCAGGCAGAAGGACCAAAGTACACTGCTGAGGGGAGCAGCGGGCGGCAGGAGAGGTCTGCGCGCCATGTGGGACCCTCCTCCAGTGGCCGGGGAGCAGCCGGGGATCGAACCGGCACCGCAGAAGCTGCGGGCAGCTTCGCAACCCAGCGCTCAACCGCTGCGCCACCGGGGAGGCCCCAGTCATAGACTCTTGGTAATCTTTCTTCAGTCCTTGAGTAAGGATGTGCATTGATGCAGCCAGAGTTTTAACAGTGGCTGGGTGTGTAGATAAAAGAACAGTATTTACTATGCTTTCCTGGATCATGGTCCAAGGAGTTTTGACAAATGCATTTGCTTGTATAATTCACACCACTATAAAAATACAGAACATTTCCATTAACCCCTCCCTTCCAATTTCCCTGTGTCCTTTCTCAATCAATCCCCTCCCAGCTCCACCCTGTCTCAGATAACTTTGTTCTGATTTCTATTATCAGAAATTAGCTTTGCCTATTCTATAATTCCATTTAAATGGAATCATACAGTATATACTATTTTTATCTGATTTTATTGCTTAGCAAAACATTTTTGACATTCACCCATTTTGTTGCAGATATTTGTAGTTTGGCTAAAGTTATTTTTGACAGCAAAGCCCCACAATTTATATGACTCCCTCTATAAACCATTTGTTCTCAGTCACTGTGTTTGGTGGTGTGGGAATGTGGGGTCTTTGTTCTGTGTTAATGTAGCTGAGCTGGAAATACCTTTCCCCAGCATTCCCTCCCTGTATATTCCAAGTAAGTGTTTGATTACAAGAGAAATTTGTGTGATAAATTTGAAAGATGGGAGTTGAGCAGCAGCCATGCTTTTATTTTTTTTTTAAAGATTTATTTACTTATGCATACAAGAACTGGGACACAGGCCAGAGGTGTGGGAGGTGAGAGGAGTCTCCAGATACAAAGTGGGGAACAGAACAGGCTGATTGACTGATATACTGCTGAGGGGAGCAGCGGGTGAGGCAGGAGAGGTCTGCTGCACCATGTGGGTAGCTCCCTGGCCAGGGATTGAACTTGTGCTGCAGTGGCTGCAGATAGCTTCATAGGTTGTATCTTAACCCCTTGTGCCACCAGGGAGGCCCAGCAGCCATGCTTTTAATGCTCTGCAGGTGGGGCCTCCCTGGTGATGCAAGGGGTTAACTCTCAGCACTATGAAGCTCTACCAACCACTGCAGCACAAGTTTGATCCCCCAAGGCCATTGGGTCTCTTCTCCCCCTTTGTCCCTACCCTCACCCACTCTTCCCCTTCTAACAGTCTTGAGTCTGAATTTCTAGGGTTAGTTTTGGTTTTGTTTTGTCAGTCCCTTTACCCACTGTATTACACATGAATGAAATCATGCTCTATTTGTGTTTCTCCTTCTGACTTATTACACTTAGCACAGTCTCCTCCAGTCCCATCCATGCCATCCCAAACAGCAAGGGTTCATCTTTCCTTATAGTTGAGTAGTATTCCACGGTGTATATATACTACATTTTTCTTTTAATGGTGAGGTATTTATTTTATAAAAGCTTATATGGCAATACCTGAGATAGGAATTCAACAGACATTTAATGTACATTCACTGACAAGTTTAAATATTAACAGAGAAATACAAAGAAAACTAAATCGACATTTAACCTTATTACATATCGATCTGCTTTCCTGGAAAAAGAAAAGCAAAAAAAAAGTAAAGAACACTTACAACAGGGAAAACACATTTATAGATTTAAAAACCATGACAGAGTTCATGTTGGGGAAAAAGTTCACTTAATATTAAAATATATTTCTAGTTTGTGGGCTGGTGATGACATTTGTATTTTACCCGTAGTCATATGAAAACTCTTATTAAAATTCCTGCTAAAAGAACAGCAACAGCAACAGCTAGCGCTATTCCTCGATAGAAAATCAGCTGTCTCACTGTCAAAACCTCTCCAATGGTGGACAATCCATGCTGGCTGTTTTCTTCTGTCTCCATCAGTTGAATAGTCTGGTCCTCTGCTCTGATGCTATCAGGTAAAATCACTCCATTTATTATTTCTATTTCCAGAGTAGGGAGGGCTGTTGGGATAAGTATGGTCTCTTTAGCGCCCTTTAATCCAGCTCTAACCTGTGCCTTGTCTGCAACTCTATTCCAGTTTATCTTATAGATGAACACCGAGTAGGAAACACATTGAAACAAGACACAGATAACCATTCCAGACCAAAAACCTATTACCCCAAGGTTAGCTGCAAACATCAGAGATAGTCCAATGGGAAAACCAAATGCATAATAACCAATGGCGTTCAAGATGGCACCCATCTTTTGATCTCCAGTTCCTCTCAGGACCCCACTACTAGTACCTGCAAGTGCATCAATCAGACAAAATGGAGCAACAATTGGTATCACTTGGCGCACGAGGGAAATAATATCTTTGTCACTGGTAAATACAAAACCAATCACATCCTTCAATGCTATAAGTAAAACACCAGTTATAAGTCCGCACACACAAGCACACAGGTAAACGGTGAAGCAGGACTGCCGCGCCTGCACAGCATTCCCTGCACCCAGAGCATGGCCCACGCGGACATTGGCTGCCACACCAAGGCCGATGGGCACCGTGAAGGCAGCAAAGGATAGTGTGTTAATGATACCTTGAGCTCCAAGCTCTGTCACATTAATCAGTCCTTCAAGTATGATTCCCATTTCAAAGGCCCAAGACTCAATGCACACCATGAATATACTGGGAATCGCCAGGCGGATGAAGAAGCCCCACTCCTGGAAACAGTCCCTACTCCAACCTCCCCAGGTGTCCATGTAGAGTTTTCTCCTCCAAATATACAGCAAAAGCAGCACACACAGCAAGTACTGGGAAACAGTGTTTGCCCAAGCAGATCCTGACACTCGGAGGTCCAGGACACGCAGCAGCAGGTAGTTCATGCCCACATTGATGACATTTACTATGAACACAGTGAGAACTTGAGGCAGGATGATACCCTGATTTTGTAAATATTTCATCAGGAGCCGGAACAGAAAAGCTGCGGGAAGACCAGGAATAAAAATCATCACGTAAGTTTGGGCTAGTCTGGAGACTTCGGGGTCTTGTTTTATGAGCAGGAGGATGTGCTCGGTGTTGATGAAGATGGCCCAGCAAGGAAAGCAGCACAGCGTCAAGATGAGGATTCCTCTTTGAAGTGTGATCCCCACACGTTTGAGGTTTTTGCCTCCAAAGGACTGAGACATTAGAGTATCACAAGCCGAGGCCATGCCAAGTCCAACGGAAATCCCAGTGACATTCACAAACGACACTGCCAGCATAACCGCATCCAGCTCTACCTTCCCCAGATGTCCACAGAATATGGAACTGACGACGCCAATAAGAAAGATCATCAACTCTGTAAGGAACACGGGACCCGCTATTCTCAGCAGCTCGGTCACCTCCAGACGCCAATCTGTGGGCAGCGCGCCGCGAAGTCTCCGCAGGCAGCCGCGCCGGCTGGGGGCCTCCAGCCTGCCGGGGCTGCCGAGGGCGGCAGTAGGGGGCCACTCGGCAGCGCTGGGAAGGCCCGCGGTCCCTGGAGGCTTGGGAGCCCCGGGAGGCTCCGTGGCCCCCGGAGGCTCCATGACAGGGTGAGGCTTGCCCTGAGCCACAGGGCGGGGTTGGCAGGGCCCCGCCCCGCCCCACAGGGCTGGGCTCCGGAGCACGGAAGGCTGCCCTCCGGACCCGGACCCGGACCAGGGATCCCTCCCGCCCACTGCGCCCCTGGCTGCGCCCTCCAGCCTGCAGATCAGACAGTTTGGAGGGCAGGACCCCTGAGGAGGAGCGTGTACCACATCTTCATGCACTTCTCTGTCGATGGGCATTTAGGTTGTTCCCATAATTTGGCTAGTGCTGCAGTGAATGTGGGAGTGCATATATCCCCTCAAATGAGTGCTTTTGTATTCTTGGAATAGATTCCTAGAAGGGAGATTGCTGAATTATTTGGTATGTCTGCTTTTTTATTTTTTGAGGAGCACTCCCATACTGTTTTCCATAGAGACTGGACCTGCTAGCATTCTATCCAACAGTAAATGAGTGTAACTTTTTCTCTACTCCTCAACATAATTTGTTGTTTCTTTTCTCTTTCTTTCTTTCTTTCTTTTTTTTTTTTTTAAATGGGCCATTCTCACTGGAGGGAGACTTTGTGAGCCTCATTGTGGTTTTGATTTGCACTTCCCTGATGATGAGGGATGTTGAACATGTTTTCAAGTCCACAGAATATGGAACTGTTAGCCATCTGTAGGTGTTTTTTGGAAAAGAGTCTTTTTAGTACTTCTGCCATCTTTTGATTGGGTTCTTTTCTTTTGTTGAGTTGTAGAAATTCCTTGTAGATCTTGGATATTAGCCCCTTATCAAATGTATGATGTGCAAACATTTTCTCCTATTCAGTAGGGTGTCTTTTTGCATTAATGATAGTTTCTTTTTTCTAATTTGATATTTTTTTCTTTAAACTCCAAAGCAATTAATGATAGTTTCTTTCACTGCAGAGAAGCCTTTTAGCTTGATGTAGTTGCATTTGTTTATAAAATATATTACTTTAAAGCCCTTGCACATGCTATGGTCTAATATCATGTCCATATGAATTGAAGAATGACAGCAAATAATAAAACCATTTAAAAAACTATAAGAAAATTATGGAAAATAGTTATTTGGTATCTGGATGGAAGATCTCTTTAAAAGCATGAAAGTAATGGGAGGAAAAAAACCTAATGAAACAGACTGATAGATGTAACTAGAGGAAAACGTAAATTTTTGTAAATAAAAAAATACTATAAAACTATATGTCAAACAACAAACTGGGATGAACACTTGTCTATAAATATGTCAAGGGTGGGCCTCCCGGGTGGCACAGTGGCTTGAGAGTAGCGCTATGAAGCTGTCTGCAGCCTCTGCATTGCAGGTTCGATTCCCAGCTGGCCAGGGAGATTCCCTGATGGCATGAGAGACCACCCCTGTCGCCCCCGCTGCTCCCCTCAGCTGTGTACCTCAGTTGTCTGCCTGTTCTGCTCCCCACTCTGTCTCTGGTGAATCCTCTCACCCCCCTGCGCCTCGGGCCTGAGCTCTAGTATAAAAATAAATAAATCTTAAAAATAAATAAATAAATATGTCAAGGATGTTCATGTATTATAACAATTGACTTTTTAAAATGGTTTCAATAGAATATAAGCAAAGGACATCTACATATTAATTTAAAGAAAAGAAAGTTTAATGGTTAATGGACAAATTAACATCATTGGTTATCAAAGCAGTATAAATTAAAACAATGACTAGATTCTACTTTTTCAATCTTGTCAAATTGACAAAGATTTCAAAGATTATAATGATCATTGAAAATGAGGGTCCAATGGGCCACACACTCATGTTCAGCAGGGAGAAGCTGAGACAGAACTTTTGTGGAGGAAATTTGAAAATAAGTACCAAGAGGCTGAAAATGCTCATATTCTCTTACCTATTGATTCTATGAAGAAAAAAAAGTTGAGATGAAGGTTATTTGCAAATGCATTTGTTTTGACATCTCATTTAATGGTGAAAACGAGAAGCTACCTAAATATCCAAAAATTAGGAAAATATTGATTAATTATAACCTGCATACAATGGAATACTTTGCAATAATTTTTAAATCATGATTTCGAAGGAAATTTAATGACATGGAAAATATATGTAATGTAATAAATAATATTTGGAACAATGGGTGATTAGAGTTTTCCTTTTTTTGTGGATTTTCTTTATACCTCCAGATAGTCTTGTGTTGGAGGGAAAGCTGAAGTCCATGTGGACATGAAGCCCATCAGGTTAAGCCGACTGCCCCACAGGTGTTTGCAGATGATGCCTTATTCACTCCTTATCTTGCCATCCACTGGATATCCATGTTACCAGCATCAGTTAGAAAACTATGCTTCTATCAACCAGGCATGTCTATTGGTCAGAGTTAGCTAAGGGGAAGTGGGGCAAGACCCTGGGTTCCAACCTAGCTCTGCCACTGCTTACCACCTGCTCTACTCTTAGGAAGCTACCTGATTGTACCACAAGGATTGATAAGTGGAGGCAGTTATGGTACCACCTCACACACATTCCAGAGGATGAAGGTGCCCTGTAAAGATGAGCACAAGGTGCAGACTACTTTTGGAATTTTCTGGACGTTAGTTTATCTGATGCACAAGTACAGGTTTCTCTCTGTTCACACTAGTCAGACTAAACTTTAGTGTAGGCAGCAGCATCCAGTGAGTTAATGCATACATGCTAGCTTTTACTTCACAAATGATTGAAATTGGAGCTTAATGTCTGTATTGTTACAATGGACCTATATGAGACATTCAAATGCAACAATAATGATGTTTAATTATTAGCCAAAGTGCTCTCTCAGTTGAAAGGCTTATTCATTTGTCTGACATGGATGTGTTCAAATAATCATCATTCTCTTTGATGTTCAGGAGAAGTTCAGAAACTAGAGTGAACTTTGGAGCCTTGAAAGAAAACAATTAACTTCCCCCAAAAGGATCTTTTAAGATTTAGGCACTATGATGTATCTTTTTTTCTGAAAGATAACTACCCTAACTACCTAAACACTACCCTAAGTAGTGTTGTGAGTGTTAAAATGCAGCTATTTCTTTTTTAGCTTCACCTTTGTGTCTGGTCTCTCCCAGCGAGGCTAGAGGTTCCTGAGAAAAAGGCCTGTGTCTTTAACTGGATGCCATTAACACCATGAATGCTTAGTGCACAGTTGCATAACTTTAAGTAGGTTTAATACTTATTAAATAATATTAAGTAAACAAATTTCAAATTAATCCCATGTCAGACCTGTGCTTTAGTGAAGAGCTGTAACAGGTATTAAAACAACTTGCTGCCTCAAACCTCTCCCTCAAAGATATGCTTCTGTACCTAAGAGTCCCACCATCACTTCCTCTTTAGATAACACATTGTCTCCAGGAGGCTGTACTGAAACATAAAATCTAAGCTGGAGGTGTCTCCTGGTAGCATACCATCTCTGACAGCTTCCCAGTAGAGAGCTTGGGCCTAGAAAAGAGGCAGATAACCTAGGGTTCCACTTTGGATTTCACATTAGGTGGAACACCCAAGTGAGGGCTGAACAGGAGAGGCTGTGAACCTGAACTCAAGTTCTCTGGGCTGGACCCATTGGGGTGGGGAAGGGGAAGTCTGATGTGGGCCAGAGTGCTGCTGGACACAATCAGAATCGATCTTCACAAACCAACACAGCACTGTTGGGTATGAACCAAGTTATTTGCTTTGGAATGTCCATCTGACCAAGGTGGACAAATGACTGATCCAAGGTAGTATTTAGTGTTGTCTGAGTAGCGACTAGGAGCTAAGCCAGCACTCATTGCTGTCTGGTTGACTGTTAGGAATAATTGTGACCTTACTGTGATTACAGAGAATCAAAGTGGGGGAGAAGAGAGAAATAATGTGGCACAAGTAGATGACTTTATTAACTGAAGTTCTCATCTGGAATGCCCTTGAACCATGTAGGGAGGGCTAAAGGGAGGTGGTCCTTGACCCACAACCCTCAGAGCTTCTGAATTCTGAGTGATGTGTACATGAACATAGCTGTGCCTTAGTGTGACATTCTAAGTGCCTTCATGTGTATATAAATACATATAACCTGGTTTTTTTTCCTTTTCTAAAATTACTTGCTAGGGAGATGGGCAGGAGCAGAAGTCAGCAATATCCCAGAGTGAGCGGAGAGGTCATGGCCACCAGGCAAGGCCCTCTCTTTTCTACCTGTCCCCAGCAGGAAGCAGACAAGGGAGGTTGCTTAGGGATACAAGGTCTTGGCTGCTTTATTACTTTCATTCTTATGGGTGTTTTTATAGCATGTAAGCAAAGTCCAAGATAGTTTATGATCATTCAGAGGGCAACTATGCCACCCTATTCCTAAGTATGAAGCCCCCTTGTAAAGATGAGCACCTCCTGCAAGATTTTTGGGGAATCCATCAGAACTTCTCTACTATACAAGTAGATCTCTCTCTCTGTTTTCAGTTACTCAGACATAGATTTTAGGGTTGAAAACACTAAAGCTACATGGTGTGGGGTTTTGGAGTTGCACAGTCATGGTCTAGCCTTAGCATTGCCATTTGCCCATTCCATTGTAACTTGACTAAACCAGTTCTCTCATTGTAAAATGGAATTAAGTGATTCCTAGGTCGGGCCTTCCTGGCGGCATAAGGGGTTAAGCACCGCACTATGAAGCAATTCACAGCCTCTGCAGCACTAGTTCAATCCCTGGTCAGGGAGCTACCCGCATGGTGTGGCAGACCCCTCCTGACTCGCCCGCTGCTCACCTCAGCAGTGTATTTCAGTCAGTTTGCCTGTCTGTTCCCTACTCTGTCTCTGGTGAATCCTCTCACCCCCACATCTCTGGCCTGTACCCCAGCTCTTGTATGTATAAATAAATAAATCTTTAAAAAAAGTGATAACTGGGTCACTGTCCCTGTGAAGATAAATGAGATGAAGTGAAGAGAGCGCATGTGAGTGCTTGGCAAATGTTCTCTCTCTTTCTAAATCTCAAATGATTTAACAAACTACCAAGGAAGATATTTGACCAGGAACAAATAAGACTCTGAAAGCCCTTCATGGTCAGGAGAATCTAAAAATGAAGCAACAAAAAAGAAAGTAGACTGTTCACTAACATTTATAGGCAACAGATGAATTCTATTAATTCTGTGGACTGGGGTCATCTCTGTGGAGTCTGTCTTGCACCAATGCTAAAATCTCCAGGGATAGTGTGAGGACCCAGCAACTAAAGAGCATGTCTGTTGAATCTGAATCACCACAGAACTAGTGTGGAGCCTTGAGTTTGATTATTGATTAAAATGGAATCACTTTACCTTCCACTTTCCAATTGGTGCTGAAATGCCATTCTCCTTAGGTAATTTTTTTAAAAATTTATTTATGCATATAAGAACTGGGGTACAGGTCAGAGGTGCAGGGGGTGAGAGGATGCACCAGAGACAGAGTGGGGAACAGAACAAGCGGATTGACTGAAATACACTCCTGAGGGGAACAGCATGTGTGGCAGGAGAGATATGCCGCACCATGTGGGTAGTTCCCTGGCCGGGGATCGAACTTGTGTTGCAGTGGCTGCGGATAGCTTCATAGGTTGCGTCTTAACTCCTTGCGCCATCAGGGAGGCCCCTTAGGTAATTTTGGATCCCCTTAAGCTTATTCATATTCAGCCTCACATTTTTGCCCATGTAGTTGCAAGTATCTGTAGTTTGGCTAAAGGTAGTTCACTCCTTGTTCAATGGAGCATCCACTCTGCAAACCACCAATCCTGTACGTATCCAAGCAAGTACCACACTCTCAGTAATATCTCTTCCTCCAACAGCCTCCCAAAGGCCCCAATGTGATATGGCTAATTATGGTTGCTTTTTGGTAGCTTCCTCAACCACTGCCCTTTCGTATAGTTTTGCCTTCTTCCTTGACACCGTCCCCTCGGTCAACAAATGAGCTAAAATTTTGCTCATCTCGAAAAAGTATCACTCTTTTCTCAAGAACATCCAAACATAGAGGCACTGCCATGGTTATTGCTTGGACTCTCATACTGGAATCACTATGGGAAGACACTCAGGTGAAAGGTAAGGGGAGAAAAAGGACAGGCAAGTCTGTTTGGGTCTTGACTTGAGATCATCCCTGCCCCAAGTAACAGTGGCCCTCATATTTTCTATCTTTGCTTATTAGAGCATTCTACAACCCAGATTACAACATTGTATTCCTTCACTGACCATGCACCTCTCTGTATGTATTTCTTTTTTTTTTAAGATTTTATTTTTATTTATTTGAAGCAGAAGCAAGAGAGAGAGAGGCAGGAGAGAGAAGGGGAGAAAGAAGCCAGAGAAGCCCAGAGTGAAGACTTGCTAGGAGCTTGGAGGCCTAATGGCTTCCTGGCCCCCACCCCCACCCCTGCCTGCCATGTACCTGTTTACCACACTACATGTAAAGCTCAATAAAAGCCTGTTAAAGCCACTGAGGGCTCCAGGACTCTCCTTTACCTGACTGCTGGATTAGAAAACCTGCACTGTGGCCTTCCTGCCACTACAGACCACTTCTCAGTGGCAATGACTATGTCCTTCAACACTGTCCCTTCCTGACCTTACAGTGGTGTAGCCTAGTGACTGAGGTTCTCAACTGTCAATAGCCTCCACTTCTTCTGCTCCCATTCATTGCCACCTACTTGTTAGTCTGCCCTCAATATTTCACTGAAACTTTTCTTGTAAGATCATCACAAACTTCTTGCGTTCAGCCAATATGGAGAATTTTAGTTCTTGATTCAGATTGAACTCTGACTGTTAGTTTCTTTATAAACTATTGCCTCCTTTTTGAAACCGTTTTTACTGAGTTTCTGTTAACCCACTCTTTTCTGGAACTGCAACCCTCTGTTACTTCTCAGTAATCCCTAAGGACCCTTGTTTGTGTCCCTCAAACATTGATGTTCCTGGATGTCCAATCTCAGATATCTTTCCTTCTCTTCATGGGTAATTAATTCACACACACCTATGATTTCAATGTGTTCTATTTTAGGTGCTGATGACGCTAATTATCTACTCATACATTCATCCAAAAACTTTCTTCTTAGCTCCAAACGTGGATTTTTAATAATGAACTAAATATCTGAACCTAGATTCCACAAGATCTCAAATTCCAACAAGACTCATTCTCTCCTTCAAATCTACTATCATATTTACTCCCTCCCCTTCATTCCTTGCTTTAAAAAATGATTTGACCTGTTATCATGCCCAGAAAACTAGACTTCACCCTAAATTGTTTTCTTTTTCTTATCTGCTACATCCTGTTGATTCTGCCTCCCAAACACTTTCTGGGTCTGTGTTCTCTGCTCCAGCTCCTCTTGCAAGACCAATGTCTTAGTTAAGGCCTTGTTTGCTCTCTCCTTTCTTATATCTCCCTGCCCTAGTCCTCTGCCCCTACAATATCTGTATCTCTACCAAAGACATTTTTCTACACTTTGACCACATCATTCCCTTGATTAGCTATCACTTAGATACATCCAAGCTCTCTTATGATCTGGATATTACCTTCAGCCTCATTGCCCATCATGTCCCTGCAGGTACCCTATTACCTAGCAATATTCAACTACTTTTAACTTTCCAAACTTGTCAGTTTCCGTCTTTATCCTTGTAAAGCTGTTCCCTCTGTTCCAATGCCCTTTCCCCACTTGTTGCTTTGACAAATTCCTGTTCGTCTTTAGCACCACCTCCTCTATACACCTTCTCTGTGCTTTCCTGGCCTCTTGAGATCTTCACACCATGCCGTTTCTCTTCGCTGTGGTCATCCCAACCTGCCTGAGTCCTGAACTGTGAACTCCTTGAGTAGGGTTAGACCTGTTTTATCCATCTTAAAATCTCCAGTCCTAGCATGGTGATAATCCACTGATTGGGACAATAGATGAACAGAACTCCTCCTAATCAAGAAATTTATTATTGGTTAAATAAAGATAATCTATAAGTAAAAATGAAAAGGGAGTGTAGAGTATACAAATGAATGCACATTAATAAAATGCCATTAGACTAAGACAAGAAGTTACTGATAATGGGTCCTCCCTGGTGGCACAAGGGGTTAAGTCTCACACTGTGAAGCTGTCCTCAACCACTGCAGCACACGGGTTCAATCCCCAGACAGGGAGCTATCCACATGTCACAACAGATCTCTCCTGTCTCGCCCGTTGCTCCCCTCAGCAATTTTTCAGTCAATCTGCCTGTTCTGCTTCCCATGCTGTCTCTGGTGAATCCTCTCACCTCCCTCCCCCAGATCCCCCCACTGCACCTCTGGCCTAACCCCAGACATTGTATGTATAAATAAATCAATCTTTTTTTAAAAAGGAAGATACTGAAAAGACAAGTAATATGAGACTATTAGAGACAAATAATTCACTTAATGACAGTGGAAAAATAGGTGATTTTTAAAAAAATTTTTACTTTTTTAAGGGTTATATTTCTCTTTAATAAGTTTTTTTTTATTGAGGTAACATTGGTTTACATACTGTACATCATATCTCCTCAGATATATGTCCCCACAGCACCCCATAATAAAAGTCCCACGGTTGTCCAACCCCAACTCTCATTCCCCTCTAATAGTCTTAATTCTGCCATCATATTTCTAGGGTTTGTTTTGATTTAGTTGTGTCAGTCCCTTCCCCCCCGCTATATTCCATATAAATGAAATTATGTGATAATTGTTTTTCTCCTTCTGAATTATTACAGTCTCCTCCAGTCCCATCCATGCCATCCCAAACAGCAAGTCATCTTTTCTTACAGTTGGGTAGTATTCCACGGTGTATATAGACCACATCTTTTTTTTTTTAATGGTGAGGTGTTATTTTATAAAAGCTTATGGCAATACCTGAGATAGGAATTGAACAGACATTTAATATCCATTCACTGACAATATTAAATATTAACAGAGAAATAGGAAGTAAACTAGATCAACAATTAACCTTATTAGACATTGATCTGCTTTCCTGTAAGAAGAAAAGCATCAAGATATGAAAGAGTGAACACACTTACAGCAGGGAAAACCACATTTACAGATTTAAAACCCATGACAGAGTTCATGTTTGGGAGAAAAGTTCACTTACTACCATATTTCTAGGGGCCTCCCTGGGTTGAGTGCAGCGGGTTGAGCACAGCGCTGTGCTGTCCTCAGCCTCTGCTGCACGAGTTCAATTCCCGGCCAGCCAGGGAGAAATTCACATGGCCTGGCAGACCTCTCCTGCCTCCCTTGCTGCTCCCCTCAGCAGTGTCTTTGGTCCGTCTATCTGCCTGTTCTGCACCCCCCATCTCTGATGAATTCTCTCACCCTCCCGCACCTCTCACCTGTACCTGAGTTCTTGTATAAATAAATCTTTAAAAAAAATACTATATTTCTAGTTTGTGGGCTCTTGACAACTCTCCTATTTTAGCCATAGTCATATGAAAACTCTTATTAAAATTCCTGCTAAAAGAATAGCAACAGCAACCGCTAGAGCTATTCCACGATGGAAAATCAGCTGTCTCACTGTCAAAACCTTTCCAACGGTGGACAATCCATGCTGGCTGTTTTCTTCCACAATGTTCAGTGGAATAGCCTGGTCCTCAGTTAAAGTCACACCATTGGTAACTTCTATTTCCAGAATAGGGAGATCTGTGGAGGCAGGCCTGGTCTCTTGAGTTCTCTTTAGCCCAGCTTGAACCTGTGCCTTCTCTGCAACTCTTTTCCAGTTTATCTTGCAGATGAACACGAAGTAGAAAAGGCTTTGAAAGAAGACACAAATGGTCATTCCAGACCAAAAACCTATTATTCCAAGGTCAGCTGCAAACATCAGAGACAGTCCAATGGGAAAACCAAGCGCATAATAACCAAGGGCATTGAAGATGGCGCCCTTCCTTTGATATCCGGTACCTCTCAGGACTCCACCACCGGTCGCTATAAATGTGTCTAAGAAACATTTTAGACCAAAAAATGGTATCACTTGGCTCACAAGGGAACTAACATTTTTGTCACTGGTAAATACAAAGCCAATCACATCCTTCAATGCTATAAGTAAAACACCAACTATAAGTCCACACACACAAGCACACAGGTAGACGGTGAAGCAGGACTGCCGGGCCTGCACAGCATTCCCTGCACCCAGAGCATGGCCCACGCGGACACTGGCTGCCACACCAAGGCCGATGGGCACCGTGAAGGCAGCAAAGGATAGTATGTTAATGATACCTTGAGCTCCAAGCTCTATCACATTAATCAGTCCTGCAAGTAAGATTCCTATTTCAAAGGTCCACAACTCAATGCACACCATGAACATACTGGAAATCGCCAGGCGGATGAAGGAGCCCCACTCCTGGAAACAGTCCCTACTCCAACCTCCCCAGGTGTCAATGTAGAGTTTTCTCCTCCAAATATACAGGGAAAGCAGCACACACAGCAAGTACTGGGAAACAGTGTTTGCCCAAGCAGATCCTGACACTCCCAAGTCCAGGACAAACACCAGCAGGTAGTTCATGCCCGCGTTGATGACATTTACTACGAACACAGTGAGAACCTGAGGCAGGATGATACTTTGATTTTGTAAATATTTCATCAGGAGCTGGAACAGAAAAGCTGCGGGAAGACCAGGAATAAAAATCATCACGTAAGATTGGGCTAGTCTGGAGACTTCGGGGTCTTGGTTTGTGAGCAGGAGGATGTGCTCGGTGTTGATGAAGATGGCCCAGCAAGGAAAGCAGCACAGCGTTAGGATGAGGATTCCTCTTTGAAGTATGATCCCCACACGTTTGAGGTTTTTGCCTCCAAAGGACTGAGACATTAGAGTATCACAAGCCGAGGCCATGCCAAGTCCAACGGAAATCCCAGTGACATTCACAAACGACACCGCCAGCATAACCGCACACAGCTCCACATTCCCCAGACGTCCACAGAATATGGAACTGACGACGCCAATAAGAAAGATCATCAACTCTGTAAGGAACACGGGACCCGCTATTCTCAGCAGCTCGGTCACCTCCAGACGCCAATCTGTGGGCAGCGCGCCGCGAAGTCTCCGCAGGCAGCCGCGCGGGCTGGGGGCCTCCTGCCTGCCGGGGCTGCCAAGGGCGCCAGTATCTGGGCGCTCAGAGGCGCCGGGGGGCTCGGCCGCCCCGGGAGGCTCCGCAGCCGCGGGAGGCTCCGCGACTCTTGGAGACTCCATGAGCCAGGGCCAGGCGAGTGGAGCTGCAGGGCAGCCTTGGCAGGGCACTGCCCCGCCCCTCTAGGGGGCTGGGCTTCGAGCCCTCCCGACCAGGTACACCTCCCATCTGCTTTACCTCTAGCCAGGGCTCTGGCCTAGGGACCAACAGTAAGGAGTGCAGAAGCCCTGGGGAGGAGAGTATACAACCACTTCATCCACTGCTCTCTCCGTGGGCATTCAGGTTGTTTCCATTATTTGGCTAGTGCTGCAATGAATGTGGGAGTTCATCTATCCCTTCTACTGAGTGTTCTTGTGTTCTTCTGTAGATACCTAGAAGTGGGGTTACTGGAGTATGTGTTGTAACTATTTTTACAGTTTTGAGAATCCCTGTACTGTTTTCCGTAGGGGCTGGACCAGCCTACATCCCCACCAACAGTACATGAGGGTACCTTTTTCTCCACAACCTCATCAACATTTGTGGTTCTATTTTTCTTATTTTGTTATGAGTCATTCTTACTAGAGTGAGGCCTCTCTCATTGTAGTTTTGATTTGCACTTGCCTAATAAGTGTTGCGAAACATTTTTTTCATGTGCCTGTTAGCCTCTGTAGGTCTTCTTTGGAAAGAGTCTTTTTAGCACTTTGCCCAACTTTTGATTATGTTCTTTCTTTTCTTTTTGTTGAATTGTAGGAATTCTTTGTAGATCTTGAATATTAACCTCTTATCAGATTATGATGTGCAAAAATTTTGTCCTATTTAGTAGGGTGTAATTTTGTTTTCATGATAGTTTCTTTTTTAATTTAATTTTTATTTTTTTTTAAATCCAAAGCAATTAATGATCGTTTCTTTAATGCATAGAAGCTTGATGTAGTCCCATTTGTTCATAAAATGTATTACTTTGTATGAACCAATATCAATATGATCCATTATCAAGTCCAGATGAATTAAAGAATTACTACATATAATACAGCCATTTTTTAAAAAAGTATAAGAAAATTTTAACAAATGGTTATTTGCTTTCTGGATAGAATATCTCCTTAAAAGTATGAAAGTAATGGGAGAAAAAAAACTAATGAAAAAGACTGATAGCTATAAGTATGGGACAATGTAAATCTTTGTAAGTCAAATATGATAAAATTACAATTCAAACAACAAATTGGGAAGAACACTTGTCTCTAAATATGTCAAAGGATTTTCATATGTTTAAAATCAAAAAGTTTGGGCCTCCCCGGTGGCGCAGCGGTTGAGTTCTGGGTTGCGAAGCTGCCCGCTGCTTCTGCAGCGCTGGTTCGATCCCCGGCTGCTCCCCGGCCACCAGAGGAGGGTCCCACATGGCGCGCAGACCTCTCCTGCCGCCCGCTGCTCCCCTCAGCAGTGTACTTCGGTCCTTCTGCCTGCTCTGCTCCCCGCTCGGCTCTGGTGAATTCTCTCACTCTCCCGTGCTTCTGACTGTACCCAGTGCTTGTATAAATAAATAAATCTTTAAAAAAAAAATCGAGGGCCTCCCCGGTGGCGCAGCGGTTGGGCGCTGGGTTGCGAAGCTGCCCCGCGGCCTCTGAGACGCCGGTTCGATCCCCGGCTGCTCCCCGGCCCCCGGAGGAGGGTCCCATATGGCGCGCAGACCTCCCCTGCCGCCCGCTGCTCCCCTCAGCAGTGTACCTCGGTCCCTCTGCCTGCTCTGCTCCCCGCTCTGGCTCTGGTGAATTCTCTCACCCTCCCGCGCTTCTGACTGTACCCAGTGCATGTATAAACAAAACAAACAAACAAACCAGCAAACAAATAAATAAAGCATGCCTCTATAAAAAAAAAAAAAAATAAAATAAAAAAAAAATCGAGAAGTTGATTTTTAAAATGACTATAATGTCAATAGAAAATAAGGAAGTACCTCTACACATTAATATTTAAAAAGGAAAGTTTAATAGTTAATAACCAAATTAACATAATTAGTTATCAAAGAAATATAAATTAAAGCAATGGTTAGATTCTACTTTTTCTTTATCAATTTGACAAAGATTCCAAAGATGACAATAGTCAATGAAAATAAGGGTCTATGAGCCACACATCATGTCCACCAGGGAGAAACTGAGAAAGAACTTTCGGGAAATCAATTTGAAAATGAGTATCAAGAGGCTGAAAAATGCTTATATTCTCTTACCTGTGATTCTATGTCAAGAATGCATTCTACGAAAAAAAAAAAAAGATGAGATAAAGGTTTATTTGAAAATTCATTTATTTTGACATCCCATTTTTTTAAAGATTTATTTATTTATGCACACAAGAGCTGGGGTTCAGGCCAGAGATGCCGGCAGGGCGGTGAGAGGACCCACCAGAGACAGAGTAGGGAACAGAACAGGCAGACTGACTGAAATACACTGCTGAGAGGAGCAGCAGGCGAGACAGGAGAGGTCTGCTGCGCCATGTGTGTTTCTCCCTGGCAGGTTGGGGGTCAAACTCATGCTGCAGAGGCTGCAGAGTGCTTCATAGTGCGGTGCTTAACCCCTTGCGCCACCAGGGAAGCCCTTGACATCCCATTTAATGGTGAAAAAGAGAAGCAACCTAAATATCCAATATCAGGGAATCGTTGATTAATTATAACTGCATGCAATGGAATACTATGGAATAATTTTTTACATCATGACTTTGGAAAACACTTAATGGCATAGGAAATATGTGTGATGTAATGTTAATTAAATAATAATATCTAAAGCTATATACTCTGTGATCAAACTTTTCTTAAAAATGAATGTTCTGCAACATTTTAAATATGAATATAAGCAAACAGTTCTAGAAAATAAATATAAATGGGTTAAATAATATTTGAAACGATGGCTGATTAGGGTTTTCCTTTTTTAAGGATTTTCTTTAAACTTCTAGATAGTCTTGTGATCATGTGTTATTTCTATAATTATATATCAGTTTGGGGTTTTGTGTGTGTGTGCTTTTTGACATGTAGGTTGGAGGGAAAGCTGAAGTGCAAGGGGAGATGAGGCCCATTAGGTAAAACCAACTGCCCCACAGGTGTTTGCAAGTGATGCTGTGTTCACTCTTTATCTTGCCATCCACTGGAAATTTGAAAGATACCAGCATCAGTTAGAAAACTATGCTGCTATCAACCAGACATGTCTATTGGAGAGACCTAGCTAAGGTGAAGTGGTGTAGGACCCTGGGTTCCAGCCTAGCTCTGCCACTGTTCACCACCTGCTCTACAATTAGAAAGCCGCCTGATAGCACCACAGGGATTATTTGTAAGTGGAGACAGTCATGTGCTTTACACACGTTCCAGAGGACGAAGGTGCCCTGTAAAGATGAGCACGAGTTGCAGACTGCTTTTAGAGTTAATTTGGAAGTTAGTTTATCAATGCACAAGTGCATGTTTCTCTTAGTTCACACTATTCAAATTAAACTTTCGGTTACACAACAGGATCCACTGAATTAATGCATACATGCTAGCTTTTAGTTCACAAATGATTGAAAATTATTTTATAACTTAATGTCAATATTGTTACAATGGACCTGCATGAGAAATTAAAATGCAATAATAATTATGTTTAATTATTACCAAATTGCTCTCAGTTAAAAGGCTTATTCATTAGTCTGACATGAATGTGTTTAAATAATCATCATACTCTGTGATGTTCAGGAGAAGGTCATAAACCAGAGTGAACTTTGGAGCCTTGAAAAAAAAACAATTAACTTCCTCAAGAAGATTCTTTTAGGATTTAGGCACCAGGTTGTACCTTTCTTCTGAAAAGGTCAGTGTTTTACCCTAAATAGTATTTTCCAGTGTTAAAATGCATAACTGTTTTCTAACTTCACTTGTGTGTCTGGTCTTTCACTTGTGTGTCTGGTCTTTCTTTTACTGGATGCCATTAGCACCATGAATGCTTAGTGCACAGTTGCATAATAGAAACTGAGTTGAGTACTTATTAAATATATATTAAATTTATTAATTAAAAATTAATCCCATGTCAGTCTTATGCTTCAGTGAAGTGATGTGACAGGTTTTGAAACAATTTGATGCCTCAAACCTCTCCCTCAAAGACATGCTTCTGTGCCTAAGAGTCCCACCATCACTTCCTCTTTAGATAACACATTGTCTCCAGGAGGCTGTACTGAAACTTCAGTATCTACCCTGGAGGTGTCACCTGGAGCACACCATCTCTGACAGCTTCCCAGTAGAGAGCTTGGGCCTAGAAAAGAGGCAGATAACCTAGGGTTCCACCTTGGATTTTGGATTAGGTAGAACACCCAGGTGAGAGCTGAACAGGAGAGGCTGTGAACCTCAACTCCAGTTCGCTGGGCTGGACCCATTGGGGTGGGGAAGGGAAAAGCCATGTGGGTCAGAGTGCTGCTGGACACAACCAGATTGATCTTCAAAAACCAACACAGCACTGTTGGGCATGAACCAAGTTATTTGCTTTGGAATGTCCATCTGACCAAGGGGGACAAATGACTGATCCAAGGTAGCATTCAGTGTTGTCCGAAGAGTGGCTAGGAGCTAGGCCTGCACTCTTTGCTGCCTGGTCGGCTTTTAGAAATAATTGTGAACTCACAGTGATTACAATGCGAGTCAAAGTGGGGCAGAAGAGAGATAATTGTGGTGCAAGTAGGTTACTTCATTAACTGAAGTTCTCACCTGGAATTGCCCTTGAACAATGTAGGGATGGCTAAAGGGAGGTAATCCTTGACTCTCAACCCTCAGAGCTTCTGAATTCTGAGTGATGTGCACATGAACATACTTATGCCTATCGGTGACATTTTGTCTAACGCCTCCATGTGTATATAAATACATATAACCTGGATTTGTTCTTTTCTAAAAATACTTGCTAGTGAGATGGGCAGGAGCAGAAGTCAGCAACATCCCAGAGTGAGCGAGGAGGTCATGGCCACCAGGCAAGGCCCTCTCTTTTCTACCTGTCCCCAGCAGGAAGCAGACAAGGGAGGTTGCTTAGGGATACAAGGTCTTGGCTGCTTTATTACTTTCATTCTTATGGGTGTTTTTATAGCATGTAAGCAAAGTCCA